AAAAGGGTTGCACTGAACTGATACTATAAAAAATTAAATGGGATAGGAACAGATTTGGGCCTACCCTACTGTTTCAGCAATTGAATGGTGATTTTAGCAAATATTTTTCGAGCAGTGCTACATGAGCACCTCGGTTGACATCTTGGATGACCGAACACTCACACATTGGAGATCGGGCATTATTTTATTCACGCGTGACTCACGTGCAATGTGAGGGTCGGTCACCCGAAATGTCAACCATTTTCTGGTAAAGTGGCTTTACTCATATTTTCATTGGGAATCTTCTGTCGGCGTAAGCCACAATTTTTACCCGTTGGTTGGATAGAGTTTTTACTTTTGCTTCTACTTTTTATGGAAGAAGAGGGAAAATTACTTCAAACTCAACTTTTATAATTTCAATTTTATGAATCGGATTGTAATTATTATTTTTCAAAATCAGTTTTAATCAGATTGTAATTATTATTTACTTTTAGAAAAGGTAAATTGTGATTAATAAATAATTTGTTACCCGTGTGATTTTCGACTATATATGTGATTACAATCCATAAATTGTCTTATACCATTGTGACCTTATTAATTTTTCACAAAATGTGACAACCTAATTTTTAAAATTTTTCACAATTTTATTAATTTTAAAATTATATTTTGAAACATTTGTAATTATGAATTTCTTTCATCGCTAGAGAGAGTAATTTAAGCAATTTTTCTATAAAAACTCTTTCGGTCAAACAAATAAATTATTCGTTTAATAGTAATTTTTTAATCTTAAAAATAGTCAGCGAAACTGGCTATATATTCAAACTAACGCACATACAAGAATAATCATATTAATAACTTTTTTTTTTAATAATTTTAATTAATTAAATGTTTTTTATTAGAGTCAAAAGTAGCTTTAATTATACCTAGTTAAAACGGTACTGAAATTAATCAAACTTGACAAGACAACTGAGAAGGTGTTTTGGTTTCCTCCTAGGAAACTAATTTCTAACGCATGCAGTATTATTTTCACATTTTTCATTCCCTTATAATAAATACATAATTAAAAAAATCTGTTTACACTTAATTATGCCCTACTAATTACACTTAATAAATATAACCGTATATATCATCCCAACTAGCCTTCCTAATCTCACATTCACCCAAAGAAAAAAAGGAAAAATTCTCTTTGATCAACCATGGAGGAAGATGATGAACTTTGTAACACAACACTTGATTTGGGAATCGGATTAAAAAAATTCGTGCCGCAAAGGGATCATGATCGGAAGAATAAGCACGTGTTTTTTCTTGATCTTTCGATCCCACTTCATTCGAGTGATCATGCAATTGAGGGCTCGGGTTCTGGTTCTGGTTCTGATTCAGGTTCTGGTTCGAGTAGTTTGAAAGTCAATTTTGAAGACCACAAACAAGCAAGCAAAGACAGTGTTTCCAATGGTTGCAAAGGGGATGAAGACAGAAACTATGGCAGAAAGAAATTGAGGCTTAGTAAAGAACAAATCACCTTGCTTGAAGACACTTTCAAACAGCACACTACCCTTAATACGGTATGCATGCAATTCTGTCTCTCTCTATTTATATATATTTTTCTGAATTATTGTTAAAAATGAATTGGTTTTTTTTCCATTTGAAATTGCATGGATGACAGGTTCAGAAACAGACGCTTGCAGAAAGGTTGAATCTGAAACCCAGACAAGTAGAAGTTTGGTTTCAAAACCGAAGAGCAAGGTAATTAATTTTTCAAAACTTCATTCATTCGTTCTTAATTAATTTCTTTTTGGTGGATTTAGTCTTTATTTCGTTTTTGTGCATGGATTAATTGAATGCAATTTATTCATAATTATTACGCAGGACGAAACTGAAGCAAACCGAGGTGGACTGCGAGTTCTTGAAGAAACACTTCGAAAGATTAAGCGAAGAGAATCGGAGATTGAATAAAGAGTTGGTGGAGCTACAGTCCGCCGTGAAAATGGAACACCCACCGCAGACGCCGCCTCCTTTTTTCATTCAGATACCTAAGGCGGCGGCAACACTTACAATGTGTCAGTCGTGCGAGAAAGTTGGCAAGAGTAGGGGCGGCGACGGCGGAAAAGCAGGAGGTGGTCCATTAACCTAAGCAATTGGAAAACGGCTTGAATATATAGACGTCACTGTATATTAATGATTTAAACAGACTTCAATAACTCAATAATTTCTGGATGAAAACTCCATAGGTGGTCACCTAATTTACAAGTCTATTCTATGTTGCTATCTAACTTTATTTATATAATAAAAATTATTGAAAAAGATCCACAAAAGTTATGAATTGGAGTGAGTTCTTTACTTCTCTTAATCGAATAGTCAAGACTCAAGACTACAATTATGTTGTTTTTTTTATTGAATTTGCTTCGTTAACAATGTCCTGTTTGGTTTGGATTAAAATTTTAAGTCAAAGTCAACAATTAATTTTAACCACGCAGTTCATGGGACTCACAACTTTTTAACTACACATTTCATCAAAATCTACTAAAAATTTGATTTTAATCTCTACCAAACGGGGAGCTAAGATTATGATTTGACTTTGATCATCATCGACTAATAACTCTAGTTCTTAGCTAATTATAATATTAAGAACAATAAGAACGAAATGACACCCTCCTTAAAATAGTAACACGTGTTTATATATATATATCGAGCCAACAAATAAGTTTTGACTTTGATAGTCGTGACCGTCATAGACTAGTACGAAAGTTTTAAAAGGATGTAGACATTTTCGTTGCTAATTAACTATGAAAATTTCTATCACTAATTTCCTTGGAAATTTTCAACAAAATTATTTGTTTCTTGGTACACATAGATATGTAACCCTAGTTGGAAGTGAAGTATAATAACGCATGATAAGAAATGGCGATCCTCTCAAAATTTTGGAAGATTTATAATTTTGAGACAATATTCATTATAAACATTAATTTTTTAACTGAATATCAAGAATTTATTTATTTATTTTTACTATTAGTTGTAGGTAATTTGCTCAAATGTAAACTATAAAGAAAATAAATTCACATGTTATATATAGAGCTCATTTGGTATAATTTAAATTTTAATCATATAATTTAATTATTTTTTTTATAAGCGATAATGTTTTTTCTGAATATATAATTTTAGATTATTTTTATATAGTACTTAAATTAAACAAAAATGATGTTTATAATTAAAATTAAATTTCAATATAATTAATTAATTATTCAAAATGTTATCAAAGGAACATTATGGTATTACTTTGAAACATTTATTTGATTAATATATATAACATTTTTTAAGATAACATTATCATCATTTAATAATACATTCTGAAGATATTTTAATGTTATATTTTTAGCTACATTTTTATTTAACTGTAAAAAGTATATGTATAAATTTAACATCTCATTCTAGTTTACAACATGTTATGATCATCGATAAGTTTGCATTTGTTAATATTTAATTATGCATAGCGTTAAACTTTGAATCATTTATTATCAAATTCTTCAGCAAACTTTAGGTTTTAAACTTTTCACCAGAATTGTGCATACACAAAGTCTTTGAATATTCATTTATTATTAAAGAGAACAAACTAAACCCATGTTGATCCCCATTATTTTGAGAAAAATGAATTTTGAATAGTTTTTTTTGGAGAATGTGTGGTTAAAAGTAGAAGTTTTAAATTTATGTGCTAAATATTTTATTGCGCAAATGTGATTGGAAATTTTTAAAATAAGAATTTTTCTGTGTACAGAAAAATTACAGATACTCACATGAGTAGGCCCCATATGAGTAAAATATTGAAACAAAAAACCACCCACCCACCCTATTGTGTCTATTCTGGTGGATTTCCGTGGCTCCATTTTCTGTATGTGTAGTGCAGTTCTTAAAATAATGGTCGTCAAACAAGAGCTGAATTACAACTTATGGTAGAAATTTTTTTTTTTGTCCTTCACAAAGACATTTAGGTCTACCAACCCCATTTTAGATTATACATGGGATAAAAAGGGTCATGGCGCATGTAACACTTAAAACTAAAAATAGGGAGGTTATATGATTTTTCAATCGTGAGAGCATGTCTCTAATAGTTTCAAAGTTCAACTTCAACCGAATAATTTCTCCGCGAAATTCAAATAATGGTAGGTTTTTAGTTTTTACATAGACAAGTTGACTAACACAAGAGTTTGGTAAACAAAGGAAATTAATAACAAGAAAACATTTACATTCTTATTAAATTCACATGTGCATTAATTACATTTCCAACCTCTTCTACCAAGATACGTTCTCAAGTGAATATACCAAGAAACGAAATTCTTTTGATGAAAAATGAAATGAAATGGTTTCTAAGTTACAAAATGGGTAAAAAAAAAAATTTAGTCAACTTATAACAAAGTTTCATATTTGTACTATACTTTATTTTGTTAAAAATGTACCTCTCAAGTTTTAATTTATTTCAGTTTGATTATTCAATTAAAATCCGTTAGTTTTTCTACTGCAATGTTTGGCATAGAAGACCAATGTATCACATTATCGTCTTCCTAACCCAACATTCCATTGAAAAACTAACAAATTTTAACTCAATGACCAAACTCAAAGAGAAAGCAAACTTGAGGATCCATTCTAAATCAAATAAAGTTTGGCAATTATCATCAAACTTTGCTATTAGTTGACTAACAGTGTTTTTAACATGTGACGAAATGCACCCGAAGCCATAAGAATGATTTTGGTTTACAACGTGTCCGAGAGAACCTGATATGTGAGAACGCCTTACTTTGAATGCTGATACGAAAGGCATCAGTGGAGAAGGGAGGGCCTCTGATATACTATCCCACAAAATTTTTTCATCTTTCCTTTCCTTTTGCTCCAAGAAGACTGGTCGACTAGGCGTCTGTACAATTTCAACCTTGCATGTCAACATTGCTACAATCTCAGACATTGCTGGCCTTAAAGTTGCATGAGGTTGCAGACAAGAGAATGCCACATGAATCAAGTGCATAACATCCTTTTCGACCATCTCTTCTCCTCGTATTCTTGGATCTATTAAATCGTTCAAGTGAGACCGCTCGTACAGTTTCCATGCCTAACGACACATTTATAAGGAAATAAAAAGTCAATCAAACTTTCCAGCATGATAGGAAAGTGAAGAAATTGGAGGAAGGGAGAACTTTTATTCATACTTGTTGGAGTCTTTGAATCAAAGAGTGGAACTCACCGTATATAACATTTTTTAAGATAACATTATCATCATTTAATAATACATTCTGAAGATGTATAATATTTTAATGAACTAGAGTATTCTATTTTTAGCTACATTTTTATTTAACTCTAAAAAGTATAAATTAATTTAACATCTCATTCTAGTTTTCAACATGTTATTATTGATTGCATTTGTTAATATTTAATTATGTATAGCGTTAAAACTGTGAATATTTATTATCAAATTCTTCAACAAACTTTAGGTTTTAAACTTTTCACCAGAATTGTGTGTACACGAAGTCTTTGAATATTAATTTATTATTAAAGAGAACAAACTAAACCCCCGTTTGAAACGCATTATTTTGAGAAAAATGAATTTTGAATAGTGATTTTTTAGAGAATGTGTGGTTAAAAGTAGAAATTTTAAATTTATGTGTTAAATATTTTATTGCGCAAATGTGATTGAAAATTTTTAAAATAAGAATTTTTCTATATGTACAGAAAAAATTTTACAAAAAAATTACAGATACTCACATAAGTGGGCCCCACGTGAGTAAAATATTGAAACAAAAAACCACCCACCCACCCTATTGTGTCTATTCTGGTGGATTTCCGTGGCTCCATTTTCTGTATGTGTAGTGCAGTTCTTAAAATAATGGTCGTCAAACGAGAGCTGAATTACAACTTATGGTAGAAATTTTTTTTTTTGGTCCTTCACAAAGACATTTAAGTCTACCAACCCCATTTTAGATTATACATGGGATAAAAAGGGTCATGGCGCATGTAACACTTAAAACTAAAAATAGGGAGGTTATATGATTTTTCAATCGTGAGAGCATATCTCTAATATTTTCAAAGTTCAACTTCAACCGAATAATTTCTCCTCGAAATTCAAATAATGGTAGGTTTTTAGTTTTTACATAGACAAGTTGACTAACACAAGAGTTTGGTAAACAAAGGAAATTAATAACAAGAAAACATTTACATTCTTATTAAATTCATATATGCATTAATTACATTTCCAACCTCTTCTACCAAGATACGTGAATATACCAAGAACCGAAATTCGTTGGATGAAAAATAAAATGAAATGAAATGGTTTCTAAGTTACAAAATGGGTAAAAAAAAAAAAAATTAGTCAACTTATAACAAAGTTTCATATTTGTACTAAACTTTATTTTGTTAAAAATGTACCTCTCAAATTTTAATTTATTTCAGTTTGATTATTCAATTAAAATCCGTTAGTTTTTCTACTGCAATGTTTGGCATAGAAGACCAATGTATCACATTATCGTCTTCCTAACCCAACATTCCATTGAAAAACTAACAAATTTTAACTCAATGACCAAACTCAAAGAGAAAGCAAACTTGAGGATCCATTCTAAACCAAATAAAGTTTGGGAATTATCATCAAACTTTGCTATTAGTTGACTAACAGTGTTTTTAACATGTGACAAAATGCACCTGAAGCCATAAGAATGATTTTGGTTTACAACGTGTCCGAGAGAATCTGATATGTGAGAACGCCTTACTTTGAATGCTGATACGAAGGGGATCAGTGGAGAAGGGAGGGCCTCTGATATACTATCCCACAAAATTTTTTTCATCTTTCCTTTCCTTTTGCTCCAAGAAGACTGGTCGACTAGGCGTCTGTACAATTTCAACCTTGCATGTCAGCATTGCTACAATCTCAGACATTGCTGGCCTTAAAGTTTCATGAGGTTGCAGACAAAAGAGTGCCACATGAATCACGTGCATAACATCCTTTTCGACCATCTCTTCTCCTCGTATTCTTGGATCTATTAAATCGTTCAACTGAGACCGCTCGTACAAATTCCATGCCTAACGACACATTTATAAGAAAATAAAAAGTCAATCAAACTTTCCAGCATGATAGGAAAGTGAAGAAATTGGAGAAAG